CCCAAAACCCCAAAACCCCAAAACCCCAAAACCCCAAAACCCCATTGCCAAAACCACCGTTGAACATATCGAAATCGCTAAAAATAAAAATAAGAATAAATGTCTCAACGCCATATACAGTTAGGGTTCCAGCACTACAGAAACCCAAGACTGACTACCACTCGTAACAAAGTTAGATCCTCTTCACAAAAACTCCTTTCAAGAAATTATCCAATCAACGTGAAAAAGCTTCGTGAATGCTGTAACATCGGCATTTTTTCAAATGCTAATCTGAAATAAGAAATTCGTACAAAAATTTATAGCTGATCATACAGATTCAGTCAAAAAGGGGCCCTCTAAGTATAGAAATACCTCCCAAGAACGTAAGAGGAAGTATAAGATCATCCCGATGAAATTGAAATAAGAGGATGAAACCTGTATCTGACTATATCAACAAAATGACTGATCCTACCTACATCAGTCCAACCTTGCATAAAGCTATGAGATATAACCCCAAAATTGTGTTAAAGAAAGCCAAGATTTCTAGACCTAATACTGTGCTAGAGAACCGAGATCCTCAGATTGTCCAGAGTGACATCAAGAACAGTCTGCCATCCTCTTTAAGACAGCAGATGAAGAAAGTTGCAAGAGAGCAAAAGTGTTCAGAGTTCGTCCAATACGAAAAAGTAGCTTTTAGTAATAAAGGAATCTGGACTAAATAATAATACCAGAAACAAGAAAGAATTTGGAGCCGAATCCCCCAAGCTAGAGAGTTTTGATAAGGAAGAAGACAAAGGAATCAAGTCAAACAAGAACTTAAATTGATTAATCAACCAAGAGGAGATTAGAGAGATCCCTTCAGACCAAGAGAGTATTCAGAGAGAACATACTTTTGAATCTTTTGAAAGAAAGAGAGCTCAAAAGAGGAGAATTAAGACGCAGAGGTCTGCCAGAACTGGATATATGGCTAAAAGACCTAAGATGGCTAGTACACAATATAATAATCCTTTTGATTTGAAAGAACACCAAAAGCCAAACTTAGAAACATTTTTCCCAAAATCTTCAAAGGCAAGAAATCTTTCGAAAAATACATTTGAAGATAACTTCACTAGCGCAGCAAGAAAGGGTCTTAAAACTCGTGAAGCTTCTCGTAGAGGATTTGGATATTTTTACAAATCAAGCTACCAAAAATACTATAAGCCACCAGATTTACAAAGACAGGCTAGTCAGGCCTCCCAACGGAGCTACTCTAAAAGTATGCCAAAATTTGGAAATGATGCTTCTGTGCCGACCAATCCCTATACAGTCTTCTCTTTAAACGAAGACTACAAGTCTTTTCTTGACTGCCCAGAGTTATCGCTATGGGACACCTATGAATCTCACTGGCAGTCATTTAAGAGCTGTCCTAGCCAAGATCTGACAGCAGATCAGATCCCATTGCCACCTAATAATATTACATTTGTCCTGCATATGAGAAGGATTTTAGAGCAAAATTCTGAAATTACTAAGGCAAAGAACACAAAAGAGCAATGGAAAAAATGTGTCAAAGAAGCACTTAGAAGATATCACCCAGATAAGTTCATTCAAAACTTTGGGAAGTATATACCTGATTTGAGTGAAAAAGAAATACTTCTGGAAAAAATCAACCAGCTGTGCAAAATAGTCACAACATGCTTTCATTTATAGATTTAATAGTTTTTCCAACTGTTTATATGACTTTTGGGGTTTTGGGGTTTTGGGGTTTTGGGGTTTTGGGG